CCCTTACCCAAGCCCACCATTGTATTTTACCTACAATTTCCCAGCAGCCTTCTCCTAACTTGATTTAACCTTATAAGCCCTGAAGCCTATACTCAGTAAACCTGAGAGATGTTGTTGAGGTAACCAAATGATTTCACCCCACTAGGCAAAGTCCTCCAGTGGCCCTTATGACATACAATGAAAAGTCCACTCCTACCCTGTGCCCCATTGACACTGGGTGACCTGCAATCTTACCTCAGAACCTCCAGCCACTCTGCCCTCTTGCTGTTCTTTGGACTCTGTAGCCATGGTCCATCCCCAGACCTTTCCACTCATTGTTTATCCTATGGAGTGGCCTTTACCAGCCTCATGACCCATGACCCATGCCTGTCTGCCTTGGGGTCTCCACCTGAAAATTCATCTTCTCAATAATGGGTCCTTTGTTATCCCTAACCCCTCTTCCCTCCCAGAATTCATATCCCCATTTCCTGGCCTAACACTTCCAGCTTTTTAGCATTTGACTTCTGGTATTTTATGTTCCTGTTTAAAATCCATTTCTCCCGCTAGTGTAAGAGTGGGCACTCTTGGTGTTTTCTCCCTGTTATTCTAATCCCAGTGCCTGGAAGAGTAAGGCACACAATAAATGCCAACTTAATGAATAGATGCATGCATGCATGAATGAATGCATGACATGCATGTATAAATATTTAGAGAAACAAACTCTGTGATTTTAGCTGGATTTTTTATTTTTTAGTTTCACTCCCTCAGAGTTTTCTAAATCTTTCATAATCAACTTTTACGACATACATAACTTCCATGTTTGTTCTTACGATGGTTTTTAAATCCCTGTTTCCAGAGTCCTCACCTCCTGATTCTTTCAGCAGCTGGCTGGGAGTGTCTGCTCTTAAAACAGCCCCTAACCTGCCAAAGACAGAGGAGCCTACTCCACGCCAGCTCTGGGGTGTCTAGACCAACAAATAAGCCGACAGACGGGGAAGGGGCCCTGGAGCAGAGAAGGTATCTCCTCTCCTGAGCCTTTGCAGGAATCCCTTCCCCCACCACGGGCCTCTGCATGTTGGAAAGAAAATGGTGTCCATCTCCAGCCAGCTGGATCAAACTGTGGGAAAGGAGCCATGCTCTAAAGAAATTCCCAGCTGTCAGTAAAGTGCTTGCTTGCTTCTAAAGCATGAGGGCCTGAGTTGGATCCACAGAACACGATGGCGGAAGGAGAGAACAGACTCCCCAAAGTTGTCCTCTGCCCTCTACCCGGGTGCTGTGGTACATGTGCCTACACACACATATATATAATGCACATATGCTCATAATAATAATAAAGAATAAAAATATACAGGCACCCAGTAAATTCTGAATTTTAGAGAAACTACAATTCTTAGTAGAAGCATGTCATAAATATTATACTGAAAAAAAAGTCATTCATTGTTCTCCCAGAATTCCAATATAACTGGGTGTCCTGAATTTAATTCACTGAGTTGAACAAGTCTAAAGTAGATTAATTCTCCCTTTTGAACAAACTAAGAAAAGATTCTCTTTAAAGTTTGAATGGAAAATGTCCCCCACAGACTTGTGTTTGGATATTTGGCTCCCCAGCAGGTGGCGCTGTTTTGAGAGGTTGTGCTACCTTTAGAAAGTATGACCTCACTAGAGGAAGTAGGTCACTGGGGGGCGGGTCTTGAGTTTTATAGCCTGGCCCTACTCCCAGCCCTCACTCTGCTTCCTGGTCCATGGCAATGTAGGCAAGCAGCCTCATGCTCCTGCCACCATAGCCCAAGCCTTCTGCTGCCATGGTGGATTATATCTATCCCTTCAGACTGGCCCCAAAATAAATCTCTCCTATACAAAGGTCTTTCAAAAGCAATGAAAAAAGTTTCTAATATAGCCTCCCTACATACCATTACTTGGGGGAACAATAAGGACTTGGCATCCCCTTTCTTCACACATGGAAGTGATGGCGTATCTCAAAAGCCACCATGTTCTGCTCATTTGGACAGGGGCTCACATTTTTCCTTCTATCCTAACCCCCAACTTCCCAACCCTTCAACCCTCCCTTCAACAATTATTACCTCCACACAGAAAACATTCTTGAGAATGCACATATAAATCAGACTTAAATCTTTCCCTTCGTATGTACAAGTAGCCCTAGAAATCACCACCCTGAGATGGGAAGTGCACATGGATACACCCACACGTCCCACCAAGCATGAAACTCTTGGAACAGGACTGTGGCCATTGGTATAGTCTCAGTGTTCTCCCTGGTAATGGCTTTTATAATGTGTTTGATAAGCCAAGCACAGTGGCCAACTCAACTATAACCCCAGCACTCAGGAGGCTACGGCAGGAGGATCAGGAGTTGGAAGCCAGTGTGGGCTAAATAGTGAGAACAGGATGGCACCAACGGACAAGCTAACAGGGAAGCTCATGGGGCTTCAACCCTAAACCGAGAACTATGGGCAGCTGGGACCTGCTGAGAGCAGGAGAGATGACCTTCCCTAGACAAGAAACCTCCATCTGGTTATCCAACACAAGCGGTCAACCCCAAGGCCATATACGTATAGGTGACAATACAGACTGAGCACGCTGAGTTTGTGCCCTTAGGAATACATCTATATCTGTGTGTTATATGTATACATGTAACAAAAATGAAGAAAAAGAGGCCACGATCTTGAGAGAGAATAGGTGAGTGTCTGGGAGGGGTTAGAGGGAGTAAAGGGGAGAGGGGAAATAATGTAATTATATTAAAATTTTCAAAAATTAAAAATGAATATTAAAACTGCAGAAGGAGTAGGGAGAGAATGAATGAGTGAGTGAATGAATGAGTGGATGAGTGCAGGAGTAGAGAGTATTCAAATCTTAGCAATCAATTAAAGGCAAATCAGAATCAGTAAGAGGGGTCCATATTTCTCTGGCCTTAGAAATCTCCCTTCCCCTGAACACATGAGTGTCCTCTCATCCAGGAAGAACCCACTCGGGAGGACGGACATGTCCCCCCAGCGCAGTGCAGAATCCAGCAAAGCACTTGGCAGGCAGACTAGATCAATCAGGCAAAGAACCTGAGATACAGCCTCCAATCCCGGCCATGCGCACTTGCCAGGCGCTTTCCCAGGGTGCTCTCAGAAACGCTTTTGAATGGGGTGTGGTCTTTCTTCCAGGTGCCACAGTTCACTCCAAATGTGTCCTAACAGAATGCCCATTCAATTCAGAGCCATTACATGCTTCACTCCGTCTCCTCTCAACTCCTAACCCTTGAGGACGTCTCTCCTGGATAAAGCTCGAATTTCCCTCGGAGCTACAGCGTGAGTCCTGAAAACCTGTTCTTTGTGTGAGCTCATAAAATGTCGCCAGTGAAAACCTGGGAGAAGAATGAAATTCAAAACCCATCTGCAAATGGAAAATCAGACGTTCAACCACAATTGCAACACGAGGTCACAGGCTGGGTCATTAAATCGCTGAATATACCCATCCAGTGTTGAAGAAAGCTTGCTTCTGACGCATATAGAGCTGAGATTTAGAACTACTGAAATTGAGACATTCAGAGGCAAGAGTCTCAGGACCACTCTCATTCCAGCCCCAGGCCTCAGCTCAGCCAGAAAGGTACTCTCTAGGTAACGCTGGGCAAGGAGTTTGTGTAAGAGGCAGAAGCAGTTTGTGTAAAACTAAGGTAAGACTAGGAAATTCAGACGATGTTTCAATGGGCATATTGCTTCATCTTTTAAACTTTGAGTGTTAACTCTAGTTTAAAAGGAAAATGAAGGGCCAACTTGTCAGTGAGGCCAGACTGCCACCGGCTTCTGTGTCTGCACAATGTCAGAATGCTGGATCAGAAGGACAGCAACTCCATGCAGATGAGAGCGCTGTCTGTACTCTCTGCAGGGGAAGGTTGGTCCCAAGACCGGACCTTCCCTTATTTCCAGAATCACTCTACCCTTTATTTTGTTATTGGCTGACATATGCAAACCATGTGAGCCCAAAATGTGCTAGCTTGAAGATACAGGGACAAGAGGTCGAAGCTAACCATAGGTGGAAAGATGTCCAGCAATGCTGAGCTGTGCAAACGAGGAGACTTGGAGCCTCTGTCTCCATCAAAAGCCTCTGCCCCTCCACAGTTGTCTTATTGCCGTGGATGCAGAGGGCCTGAAGGGTGTGGAACTCACAATTAAAGCAGCAAGAGACCAGTATCATTCACCAAATCCTGCCCAGTTGGTACAACTGGGGAGCCTGGCTGTGAAGAGCACACATCCTGGGTCCACTCACTGGTCCATTACGCTTCTAAGAATGATCTGGCTGCCTGGGTCCTTTCTTTCCTCTTCCTCCTTGGCCAACAAAAGGTCACATCTACTAAAGAAGGACATTGGTACCTTTTCTCCATATTTGTGAGTTGTGAGAGGAAAATCTTTTGAACCATGACCTGCCTGAAGAATCAGAAATTTCTGGCCATTCGGGAATGTTCCAAACCAAACAATGGCCAAGTAGTTTTTCACAGGAACATCCCTTTTCCAGCAAAAGCAAAATGGGAGATTGGAGGAACAGCTAAGAGATGTAAATGACTCAACCCCTCAAGCCAAAGACGATTCAGACACACAGGCCCTTTTGTCACCCCCAATTAACTCTAAATTACTTCTCAACTCCACTTCACTTTCTCCTTAGGGGTATTGGCTTCTTTAGCTCAAGGTTTGAGAGATGGAGGGTGAGTCTCCACACAGTAATAAGCTGTGAAGAGAGAAAAAAAAAGACCACTGTTCCATCATCTGCAAACACCCTCCACATTCCTCCTCTCTCTCTCTGCAGAGAAACAGACACACAATTGACTCCTCTGCTCGATTGGGGAAATGTTTATTCTATGTTCAGGAGCCAGAGGGATGCTCATCTCCACCGAGCTCGAACAACGTGCAAAGCTGTGTGCTCACACCTTGTACCTCTGCTACCGGTGCAATCCGAGTTCCAAGAGCACCCTCTGAAGTTTCCAGGTCCTTGTGTCCTGAGGGAAGAACTGCACCACAAACACGTGTTTTAAAAAATGATCTTTTATTAAGAAAGGAAACTCACTCAAGAACAGCAGTGGGCGAGCGAGCTGGGGAAGAGCACAGATCCACTGAAAAGCACTGAGCCAGAGGCTCTTGACACTTTATCTACCTTCTCTTGCTTTTCTCAAGCATGTTCTGCATGTTACAGGAAGCCCAGGTAAGGAAGAGTGTGGTGATACATTGTGTCCCCCAATATACTGTGCACCCTAATAATGCTTATCTGAGGATCAGAGGAAAAAGCCAGCCACTATATTAAACATAGAAGTCAGGCAATGGGACCACATGCCTTTAATCCTAGCATTAGGGAGGCAGAGATCCATCCTGATCTCTGTGAGTTCAAGGCCGCACTGGGAACAGAGCATGTTATCACGCACCTTCAGTTCCAACACTAGTTAACCATAAAGGTCCGGAGGTCTGTACAGACAGACAGGAAGTAACAGAGCTGGGCAGAGAGCGGAAGTGAGATAGCAGAACAGAAAGGCATATAGGCCTGGGTATACAGGAAGTAGCTCTCTTTGGCTGAGGATTTTCAAGTGGTAAGAACATGGCTGGCTTCTTTCTGCTTTTCTGATCTCTTTTAACCCCAATATCTGGCTCTGGGTTTTTTATTTATAAGACCGTTTAGCAATTCATCTTACAGAAGAGTTTCCAGTCTTTCTCTGTCAATTGACTTCTTTCATATGTTAATCTTGATGTTGGAGTTCCTTTCTCCAGCTTGATAAATTCCAAAGCAATATCAATAAAGAGGACTTGTGCCCCATTCACAGATAAGAAAATCTCGCTTTAGAGCTCTGTCTTCCTGGATGACTTAAACTCACCTTGCAATTTTCTAAAACTCACTTAAACTCTCCTTGGAGCTATTAATATTTTCAGTTTTCCAGGACGGGACTGTTTGTGTCTGCCCAACCCCTACCCCATCCTGCTTCCCTGTTCTGTGGTAACTCTGAATTAGATAATGCCTGCAGAGTTCTCTGTTCCTTGAAGGGAAGTTTCAATAAACACAAGTTATTAACCTTCATAGCACCCAGAATTTTGAATGAAGAAGTTATAAAAATTATCATGAAGTCCCGCTGGGGTTTGATAATGAAGAGATGCTTTCCTGCCTCTTCAAATGCTTCCTTTTCTTTCCGAGGGCAAAGGTGACCCCCTCCAGCTAGAACCTGCTTTCATTCGGATCCTGGCCCCAGTGCTTTTCTCTTCTGATACAAGAAAAGGTCAAGTGCCTCTTTCCAGAGCCTTCACAGTGTGTCCTATGGAGGTTCTGAGCAGCGGGTGCTCAGGCTGGGCACAGCCTGCCTCCACGTCCTGTGGCTGCCCTCGCCAGGTGTAGCTGAAATGAGGGTGTGAGGATGCCTGGGAGGAGCGAAGATGTGACTGCTGAGAAGTCCAGACACAGACACTTAGTGCTCAGAGGGGTGTCAAGGACCCCGCCTTTGTCCACCCAAGCCACGTGGGAAAGTGGGATCTAAGGAGAACACAAGAGAAGAAAGGATATAAGGGGAACATCTGCCTGCTCTGTGGGGTCTGGATCATCCTAATGTTGAGCTAGGGAGCAGAAATGAAGGAAAGGTCTTGGACTGGTTACTTCTGTCACAGAATAGCTGACAGAACAGCTTTTAAGAGGAAACTATATTTCTGCTCAGTTTCAGCGAGTTCCACTCATGGCTGTATGGCCCCATGCATTTTCATGATTGAAGCCAGCCAAAAGTCAGAAAATGTGGCAGTCTGTTCAGGTGGAAGAAGACAGGTGTCTTAATTAGGGTTTCTATTGCTGTGACAAAACACTATGACCAAGGAGTAAGTTGGAGAGGAAAGAGTTTATTTGACTTACACTTCAGCATTGCTGTTTATTACTGAAGGAAGTCAAGACAGGAACTCAAAACAGGGCAAGATCCTGGAGGCAGAAGCTGATGCAGAGGCCATGGAGGGGAGCTGCTTACTGGCTTGCTTCCCCTGGCCTGCTCAGCCCACCTTCTTACAGAACCCAGAACCACCTGCTCAGGGATGGCACCACCCACTACGGCCTGGGCCCTCCCTCAGTGATCACTAAATGAGAAAATGCCTTACAGCTGGATCTCATGGAGGCATCTCCTCAACTGAAGCTCCTTCCTCTCTGGTGACTCTAGCTTGTGTCCAGTTGGCACACAAAACCAGCCAGTGCAATAGGCTAGAAAAGGGAGGGCTAAGAAAAAGAAAGACAAACATTTGCTTACCAAAGATGAACTTTAAGGAGAGCACCTACAGTGATCTGGCTATGGCAGGCCATTGTAGGTTGATGACATCATTGCTGGAGAGTGGTGTACGTCCTGAGGTGTGAGGGCTCACTTCCATGGCATTGCCCCTCCATCACTCTCTCTTCCATCCTCCTGAGAGAGTCCTCAGAACACTGTGCTACCTACACTGTGAGTCATCCTGGAACAAGCAGATGCCCCTCTATGCTGCCATTGCCAGCAAGGACTTCTAGGTCAAGGACCAGAACTCCTAGCAGAATTCTGAGATATGAAATCCCTGAGTCACTGTTTGACCCCCAGGTGTCTTTTCTAGCTGCCAGTCCAGAAGTTAGGCCAATGCATGTTCTCTATAACCACAAGTGGACCTCGAGATTCAACTCCTGGAAAAGCAGCTCATTTTTCTCAGCCTCCAATCAAGGAAACATTTGCATATTAAGAGAAATGTCCCACAGATGGGAGCACTCCACAGGGGAGCACCTTGATTAAAGCAACTTGTTTTGCTAAGAAGTCTTGAATCTGCTCCCAGGATACAGGGCAGTTAGCACAGTGTAGAGGCGGCAGGCAACGTGAATTGTCTTATTTAATTGGAAAGCTCCTACTGAGCTTAGAAGTATTCATTTAGACAGGCAGATCAATAAAAGGGAATGGGGAGTGTATGGTGTCTGAGATGTTCTGGAGGCCAGCAGGTCCTATATCTTTCTGTTTAATAAAGACATACTGAGCCTGCTTCCAGGAGAAACCTGGAGCTCACTCCTATAGCTGAAGTTTTCCTGTGTCCCACCTGGCCTGTGATCAGAACAAATCTCTCTCACCCGCCAGTCCCGCAGCTGCTCAGACTCAAGTAAACACACAGAGGCTTATATTATTTACAAACTGGATGGCCATTAGCTCAAGCTTATTACTGACTAGCTCTTGGTACCTTTTTTCAGTTCTGCCTTCACATCTTGCTTCCTCTGTGTCTGGTTGCAACTCCTGACTCAGCCTTCTTCTTCCCAGAATTCTCCTTGTCTGCTTATCCCACCTATACTTCTAGCCTGGCTACTGGCCAATCAGCCTTTTATTTATCAACCAATCAGAACAACACATTTACAGCATACAGAGTGATATCACCTATCACACTCCTAACTCTAGGCTGCAACAGGGTCCATCAATTCAACATGCAGATATTTCTCAGGAGGGATGGAAGGCATATCTTCTTTCCTTACCTGAACTGGGTATTCTTGTGGCAGGGAGAAGAGAGTGAAGAATGAGCAGGTCTTAGGAATTTGACACAGGTTTTTCCTAGCCTCTCCTTCAAATAGTATTCACTTAACTCGGACTGAAATAGAAAGGTCCAATAGGCAAAGATGAAAAAAGAGGGGCTGACAAAGGGGGAGGCAGTGAAGGAGAGACAGCTGGCTTCCTCTCCTTTGCAAAAGTCACATCACAAGATTAGGAACACCACATTGGCTTATGGTGTAGCAATTCCCTCTGAATTGAAAAATCCCATCCTGGGGGAAGTTCAATGAGACTCAAGAAATAAATGACACTTAGAAGACTTAAGAAGTAAAACTAACAAGTGTCAGGAAGTTCCTAAAATTTACAAGCCTCACAAGGTCCCTCCCTAAGGTTATAATCAGTAGCAAGTGCTGGGAGCTGAGACTTTGACCAGCCAAACTGTCTTCAAGATATTTGGAGAGCTCCTTTAGTAATGTGGTTTTTGTGATTTGTTACCCATTCTGGGGTGAATTTTTTAGAATATATCTGCCTTTGAGTCATCTATGCTCCTGTGAGTAATGCCAATAACTCACTAATCCACTAAGCTAGACTTGTATGGGATGATTTCTGTGGTCTGGCATCAGCACCATCTGGGATGAGCAAACATTTGTTCATGTCTCACACAGCATGTCTTTAACAGCTCTCCAGTTGCAACCCTCATGTCTCCCTGTCTTTCTTACTCATCATTGAGATGGAGGTTTAAATTTTCTGCTTTAATTCCATGTTGTCACCATCCTATATACTTATCTTTACCACCCTTGAAAGTGTCCCTGCTCCCTCCCCTAGCCCCACCTTCTGCACCAGAGACCTAAACAGTAGAGCCCATCCTCACTGCAGACAGAAGCTTTTATTCCAGGTCACAGTATTATGTCTGATTTTTCTGAAAAGAGAAAATGCCCCATGGCTGTAGGTCTGAGCAGGTGTGGTGTGTGCATGAGTAGGCCCACAGGTGCATGCATACATGTGGTGGGTTAAGGGTGTTTCACTTACACTAGTTCAATTATGAGAAAACTAGGACCTGTTTGGTTCCTTGGTTCCCTCCTCTGAGTCTTCTGCAGAAATCCCTCTCTGGCAAGGGCTGTGGGAGGGGACCTGTTGGCATTTAGCTTCCACAAAGGCCTCTGCTCCCACAGTCTATAGTGAAGGCATGAAGCTTGGACTCATACCTGGGCCATGGGTTGGTTGCCATGGAAATGACGGCAGTCACAAATAAGGCAGTATTATGTTCTATCTGCAGGACCAGAGGAGAGCTAGAAGCTGGGGGAGGGGGGCAGGGATGGAGGCAGAAAGGAAAGGAGGGGAGGGAGAAGGAACGAGAGGGAGGGAGAGAGGGAGAGAGAGAGAGAGGGGGAGAGAGAGAGAGAGAGAGAGAGAGAGAGAGAGAGAGAGAGAGAATTAATATCTATCAATAGTGATCCCAAAAGGTAACACAAAGGAGATTTCACACCAGGTGAAGCAGGAGGGGGAGAAGGGGTTTGTTAGCTTTGAAGGGGGTTTTACTTACAGAGAGCCAGGGAGGGAAACCAACTCCAAGGGGCCCCTTGTGCACCCCTCCCCTCCACTGCCTTTGTGTCTCTCTCCCACTGAGCAGTGGTTCAAAAGCCTAATGAGGAAGGCTATGGGACACAGTTCAGTAGGTCGGGTGCCAGCAGAGGGTGAGAGGCCTGCTCTGAGGCCGGACAGACTACATGAAGCCTCTTGGTCCCTGGCTGCTTAGCAAGTTTCATTTGAAATTTATGCCCCTCAACAAACCATAAAACTGTGAGCCCAGACAGCCCAGCACTAGATTTTTAAAAGCCATGAACCCTCCAGAATCTTGAGGCTGCAGCGCCCTTGTTAAGACGTCCTCAAGAGACGAATGCTGCTAGAGGGGAAATGGCCACATTGTCTTCCTAGGTCATTTTTTCATTCAAAGCTTCATTGGTTTCCTCACTATGGACAGAAGTCTGGAAACCAAGACCGAGATTCACACTGTCTCAGCAAATAAAAAGCACAAAGTTTACTTTAACTAAGCTGTGAGTCTTTACATGGAACAAGAAATGCTTAAGTTCTTCCCATTCCAAGCGGGGGGTGATGTCTTCGAATAACACATAAAAAGTTTCTTGCAATATTCTACACTATCAAGATAATCAGATTCAAGATTATTACAGTCTCGCATGCTTCCTCCAACCACTACAAGGTGCGTGTGCGTGGGTGCATGTGGCCATAGATTGATTTCAGTTGTCAATCTTGAGAGGTCATCTATCTTGTTTTTTAAGACAGGGTCTCTCCTGGAGCTGGGTGGTCATCAATTAGGCTATATCGGTTCGCCAGTGAGCCACAGAGATCCACCTAGCTCCATCCCCTCAAAGCTGGGGTTGCAAGCATGCGCCATCACGCCGGGCTTTTTTATGTAGGTGCTGAGAATTGAACTTATGCACAGCAGGCTCTTTGACAGCAGACTCCTCCCACCCTTTGACCACCACAACTTTTACAGTGACCACTGCAGCTAGCTCAGCCTTAGCCAGTGTCTAGCAGCTTCCTGCATGATATGGTTAAAATAGCATTACCAGTCTTACCAACCTAAAATTTCTTGACCAGTTAACACCCATACACAAAACCCTACATGCCTGCTGTCCCCTTTTGTCCTGCCGAGAAACATCTACAAATAAAAAACAAACAAACAAACAAACAAACAAACAAAAACGGAGACATTAGTGCATGCTACCCTGACTTAGTAGGAATGTGCTTTCAACCACCAAATACTCTTAATTCTGTAAGATGTATTCAAGAGAATGATACCATTTCACCTTGGGACACAGAGCTGCTCAATCCTGGACATGAGCCTCAGCCAGAAGCATCCTCAACTTCCTCACAGCTGTAGTAGACAGATGTGAGGGTGTGAAGTTCTTTACTCACCTCTCTGATGATTCCTTGAGGTGGTGCCACTGTTCCGAATGCCCCCAGGTCCTGACCACAGTCTCTGCTTCCCTTCTTCCACCATGAGTATGGCTTGGAGAGATGAGCCTAGCGTTAACTCCAGAGGCCAGTGGTACAGTCTAGATGGTAAACCCGGCAGCAGCCAACCTGAGATCTCCACAGGTCCTCGGGGAAGAGAGAGAGGAAAGAAACTCTCATCATGACTGAGGCTGATAGCCTAAACCGATAGATTAATCAGAAGCTTGACTAACAGAGATGATCGTAAAAAATAAATGATATAATTATGATTTGGACATAAAATGTCCTCTATGCACCATGTCTTTAAACATTTGGTCCACCTGGGTGTTGGAACTGTTTAGGGAAGGTTGTTGAGGGGAAGGAAGACAATGACCAGAAAAAGTCGGTAGAGACGTTTACCTTCCCAAACCTAATTTAGGATGTTAACCTATAGACCCGGAGAACTCAATAACAACTCCAAATAGGATTGCAAAAATTGAGTTTCACACTCATTATTATTATTATTATTATTTACTATATTATTATCAAGTCAGTGAATTCCAAATGTAAATTTTGACAATATAAGCATAAACACTAAATTTGATCAAGTTCTGAAAACATAAAACCATCAACCAAGAATTTTACATTCATCAAAACTATCTTTCAAAAACAAGTGAAATAAACATTAACACATCCAGAGCTGCTGAGATGACTCGGTTGGTAAAGGCACTTGCTGCCAAACCAAATTGCCTGTGTCCAAATCCCACATGGTGGAAAAAAAGAAACTACCTGTCATCTGACCTGCTGTGTACACTGTGGCACACATGTGCCTACACACACACACACACACACACACACACACACAAATATATATATATATATATATATATATATATATATATATATATATATACACTCACACATACACACACAAACATATACATACACTCACATACACATAAGCACATATTTATATTTATACACACAAACATATACATACTCTCACACATATATACACACACACACACACACACACACACACATAAATAAATAGATGCTAAAATCACCAACACAGTTCTTTTTAAAAGAAAAAGAAATCCACTGCTACCAAGTTTGCTCTACATGAAATACCACATGGACATTGACAGACAGTCATACCAGACAATGAGCCAGCATCCATAGGGAGGCATAAAGACTATAAGAACCAGCTGTATATGCAGATAAATACAAAAGACTTCTCATTTCTTCCTCCTAATGCCCTTAAAGAAATAGGACATGACATATAAAGCAATAAGCAGATATCAAAGTATAACACCAGGAGGAAAGAGAAAGCAGAGCTCAGGGAGACAATTTCCAAAACCTATAATTATTTTGGTGTTAAGCTAAGAAAGACTGTAATAAGTAAGAATGGCTCTAATACTTAGAGAGCTCACTAAAAATAGTCTTAACCACTATACAAAAAGATGTGGATCAACAAATGACACACTTAACGTTTATTGTCACAACCAAGGCAGTGAAGGGGGATCGGAGAAGACAGCATAAACACAGGACAACAGCAAGGGCAGGCCTGAGTCTAGTGGTACCAAGAAGATGTTAAATGGTCAAATGGGAAGACTGTAAGCATCACATTAAAGACAGAGATTGAGGCCGGCAAGATGCTCAGCAGATAAAGGCGCTTGCCATTCAAGCCTGAGGACCTGAGTTCAGTCCCTGAGACACCCACATGGTAGAAATAAAGAACTAATTTCCAAACATTGTCCTCTGACCTCCACACACATGCCATGGCACATGCATGAACACACACACACACACACACACACACACACACACACACACATACATAGACACACACAATAAATAAATAAATAAATAAATAAATAAATGGAAAATGGAAATTGATATCAATTCTGCTATTTGCAAAAATATTATAGATCGACAGCAGTTTGAATGAAAGTGTTGGAAAAATAAATGAATAACATGTAGGAAGTTGCCATAGAGAGCCAGGTAAGTTTATTTTAAAAAGCAGACTTGGATCAAGTAAACCAAAAAGAGACATTTCCAAATGATGAAAGGGTCAAAGTATTAGGGAAGCATAACCATAACAAGCATTCCACAGCTGACAACAGAGCAGTAAAGTACATAAAGCAAGAACTGACAGAGATGGACAGGTGGCTTAAAAACCGCTGGTGTCACTACCACGCTCTCAGATAATAAATGGTATACAGAAAACTCGGACAATACTATCAACCAATCCGACCTGACAATCACAGACTACAGCGTCCAAGGACAGAGAATATGTACACTACTCTAGTGCACGGTCCTTCTCTAACCTAGATCAGAACGCCACAGTGTAAGTCATAACAAAGCAAAACATCTCAATAAAGGTTAAACAGGCTAAGGTGATGGACTTGTGGGTAAAAAGACGGCTGCACAAGTGTGCAGAACTGAATGGGATCCAAAAACCCACGTAAATTCAGATGTGTAGTGCACCCCTGTAATCCCAGATGGGAGGCAAGAAAATCCTCAGAAGCATCTGGGAAAGATAGCCTGGTGTGTGCAGTGGAGAAAAAGAGACCCAGCCCCAAATGAGGTGGAAGATATGGACTAATATCCAAAGTTGTTCTCTGACCTCCACATGCAGGCCCTGGAATGCATTCACACACATGTGGTGGTATTTTACTTGTACTGAAATGTGATTTTAATTGTATGTTAATAAAGTTGCCTGGGGGTCAGAGCTATTAGAGCCATAGCAAGTGCGTGGCGGTGGCGCACGCCTTTAAGGACCTGGAGGGTGGTACATTCAGGCAGTGACGAGGCAGTCACATGTTTGGGTTTACAACCAATGAGAAGGCAGAACAGCTAGACTATATAAAGACATACACACAGGAAGTAGCCCCTTTTTGGAGAGCTCTCTTGGCTGAAGAGGATCCCTGAATCAGGAACGGTGAGGCTCTTAGCTCTGACCTCTTGGCTTTCTTCTCTGAATCGGCTCTGTGTTTTTTATTTAATAAGACCGTTGGTTACATCTACACACACACACACACACACACACACACACACACACACACACACACCAGAGAAAGAGCAAGAGATAGTTTAAAACTTTTTAACTGCAAATTGAAATAAATATAATTCTGAATTTAACAGAATTATGTTAGAAATCAAAAGAAAGAAATGCTCAAATATTGAGAAATTTGATAACATAGTTTTAAATACTATGTGAATCAAAGAGAAAATAAAAAAGAGGTTATGAGATATTTTGAGCTGGATGATTGTTGCAGAGGCCATGTTGGGCCTTTTTGAGCTGGATGAAAATGAGAGTGCAGTGTACCAGGTTCATAGGGTAGAAAAGTCCCTCCTCCACCAAAATACCTGCCTCCCTCATCAGAACACCTGCCCCCTCCCTCATCAGAACACCTGCCCCCTCCCTCATCAGAACACCTGCTTCCCTCATCAGGGCACCTGCCTTCCTCATCAGAACACCTGCCCCCTCCATCAGAACACCAGCACCAGAGAATAAACAGTGCCAAAGCCTGACAGAATTCTCCCTGTGCCTTGGAAAAGGAGAACAAGCTTAAACCAGGGCACCCTGGAGACAGGAGGCAAGACAAGTGTGAAAACTCAATGAAGTAGAAAACAGAAAAGCAATAGGGAAATCAAACAGAAGTTCATTCTCTAAGATGATCAATACATTGACCAATATTTTAATTAAGATGAGCAAGAAAGATGAAACAATTTCCCAAAACCAGAAAGGAAAAAAGTACCCACCATGACTGACCTAGGGATATAAATAAAATATAATGTCATTTTCTTTAGTCTGTTGGTTGTTGTGGATTGAACCCAAGACTTTGCCTACACTAGGCAAAAAAAAAAAAAATCTATGGTTGAACTTCATCCTCAACCTTATTTAATCATTCATTTATTTACAGACGCATACACACAAATATATACATATATACATTTTGGAAGAGTCTCACCAAGTTACTCGGGCTAATCTTGATCAAAGCCCAGCCAGACCTTGATCTTGTAATCCTCCTGCCTCAGCTTCTTGCATAGCACAGATTATAGGACTTGTTGATCTCCAGACCTGGTTGGTTATGAGACATCATTTTGAATAATTTTTTGCCAATGATTTGGATGAAATGAGCAGATTCTTAGAAAGACTCAAATTGCCAAAACTTAGAAAGAAATAGAAAATCCAAATAACCCTATTACTAGTCCAAAAGGAAAGTTGAATTTGTAATTTAAAGGATCTTACCACAAGAACTCCAGATGGTCTCACTCATGAGTTCTGTCAAATGTTTAATGAAGAAATAATACCAACTCCAAAAATTCCTTCAGAAAATAACAGCGGGGAGCATGGCAACCACTTATTATGAGACTCTTCCTGGGGTACCAAAGCTGCACAAGAATTGCACAGGACAATGGCAGATCAGTGACCCTCATTGATACAACCACAAAATCCTCAACAGAATTAGCAGTCGCCAAACCCAGCAAATGAAATTATACAAAAAGCAACTCATACCACTGCCTTTTAATGACGCTCAAGCTCTGTCACCAGAGCCCACAGAGTTACAGGCTACACTCTATCAGGGATATTTACACTCATGTTTTAATTGCAGCACTATTCACAACAACCAAGATATAGAATCAATGAATAACTAGATAAAGAAAAGATAGCACAAATATGTGTATATAAAAAGAAGGAACAAAGACACATATAAGTAGAGAAAGGCATGGAAGACAGACAGAAAAACAAACCCTCTTCTGCAGCCCAGAGCTTCAGTACAGAAGAAGTTTCAATAGATAAGAAGGAATATGACACACAAGATGAATCAGAGTGATGATGGTGCTGATCACGAAGCTTGTCTAGAACACGAGGTTGGGAGTTAAAGGTACAGGTCTTATTGTGAACAATTCTTTCAGTGTGATATTGGTGCATCCAATGTACAGCTCCATAGTGATCTGCATATAATAGGAAGGAGTGTGATCTGGACTCACTCTGAAGAGACAGATAGAATGTCAGCAAGTAAGAGGCAGATCATCCTTAAAGTGGTTGCCAGAGGAAACTGTTCGAAGAAATGGGATGACAAAGACCTCCTCTGGAGTTGTTATGAGTGTGTCTGCCCTTAACTTGTACAGAGGTAAAGTAACTATGGATTGATGGCACAACTGGACTAAGAATCCACTCTCTGAGAAAGGACTAGCTTAAGAAACCTTGACTTCAGAGGCCAGGATGGACAGCAAAGGAATCACATGTGAAACATGTAAATAAAAATTATTTTTATTCATTTCTAATTCATTCATATTTTATTTTTTCAAAATGTGAAATAATTAAGTCCTATCATTTGAAATACATAGTTCAATCATGTTAAGTGAAATAAACCAAGCACAGAATATATCCAATGCATGTTCTCTCTCACTCAAGAAAATTGGAAAACAACAAAAATATTCACAGGAGAGATGAAAATAGTCACCATTAGAGACTTGGAAGGCAGAAGAAAGGAGAGAAGAAATAGAAAAAGATTAACAGTGAGTACCAAGATATGGCTGGATGAGAAAATTAGTTCCAGTGTTTACTATACAGCTGAGTAACATACATCTATAGCAGTTTATGACATATTTCTAAGTAAATAGATAAGAATCAACTCAAGTACACAAACACATAGAAATAACATTTAAGGAAATGGAAATTCTAATTACTGGGGCTAGAGAGATGGCTGCTGTGGAACAATCCTTTCCTACACTATGAATACTTATTACTCTCATTGGTTAATAAAAAGCTGACAGGCTGGTAGCTGGGCAGGAAGTTAGGTGAGAAAGTCAGGCTGTTGCCAGTCAGATGCAGAGGAAGCTAGATGAGAATGTTGTACTAGAAAAGGTACTAAGCCACATGGCTAAACATAGATAAGAATTATAGGTTAATTTAAGTATAAAAGCTAGTTAGCAACAAGGCTGAGCCATCAACCAAGCATTTATAATTAATATAAGCCTCTGAGTGGTTATTCTGGAACTAGTGGGTGGGAGAGAACCAACTGCTTACAGATGGCTCAGCAAGAGCACCTGCTGCTCTTGCAGAGGACCTGGGTTTGGCTCCTAGCACCAACATGGCAGCTCACAACTATCCAGTTCCAGGGGATCTGATGTCTCTTTTGGCCTCTGTAAGCACCAAGTACACGTGTGATATACATACAAACCTGCAGGCAAAACATTCATACACATAAAATAAATCTTTTTTAAAAAAGCAAAGCTAATTACTAGTATATGATTATTACATATTTATATGCATGCATCAAACAATTATTGTGTGCTCAATAAATATATTCAAATACTAGGAGTCAATTTTTAAAATGTCCTGATGAGAAAAGAGGATCAGAATTCATTGCAGGGACAGGAGTTGGAGACTGTTCAGGTGTCTCTCACTACAGAGCCAGTGAGTAAAACGAAGGAAAGCCTTACACAGAGGAAGATGAGGTGTTCCTATTAATAGATTGTGCGTAACCTGGCAACGTGTTTACAGAGGGATCTTTCAAAAATGAGTTTAGGAGAGGGAAAAAAAAAAAGGAACAGAATGTGTTCTATTCCCAAATGTCCTTCACGTAAACTTTAAGTGCAGGTGCATAAGATAAAACAAAGAAAAGAAGATTCAGTGGCAGAAAAGGAAACACTGTAAAGCCTTAGAATGTTTATCATGGAGAAGAAATAGAGTCGGGAAACAAAGCAAAAAATATAAACTAAGATAGTGGATTGATTGATAATAGAGTCAGACAGTGTATTAGCTATTTTTCTGTTGCTATGATAAAATACCATAGCCAGAACAGATAAAAGAAGAAAGGGTTTATTCTAGTTTACAGTTCCAGAGGACCAGAGTCCATCACAGAGGGTAAGGCATGGCATGGCAGCAGAAGTAGGAAACAGAGGGCAAGAACAGGAAGTGGAGCGAGGCTATAAACCCTCAAAGCCCGTCCCCAGTGACATACCTCCTTCAGCAAAGCCACACCTCCTAAAGGTTCCTTAACCTCCCCAAACAGTACCACCAACTGGGGACCAAGTGTTCAAATCCATGAGCCTATAGGGACCATTTCTCACTCAAACCACCACAGATAGATAACTAGATGATAGAAGGACAAACAGATTATAGATAGGAAATTTGCCTTCAAAATCGTGGATAATTCCCTAATTCCCCTTCTAATTACGTGACTCCGGAATCCAATAATTATTTCCAAGGGTAATTTCTAATTCCTTTATTCCAATTTGTCCCATTTTGGATTATGTGTCTGTGATGAGAAGCTATCACCAATAACATTAATAGAAACCTTTATTTGACATTTAATTTCCAGGTTTAAGTGAGATAGAATGGGAAGAGGGTGAGCTCTTACAGGTTTCGGTGTGATGTGAAGAATGCTTTCAGGGAGTTTATCACTTATGAACGCAACAGGCTTAGCAGTAAAATTAAAATAAGACTGATTCTTCCTACATAAGTATGTTAACCTGCTTTTTTCCCAACTATTTTTATTCTTATTTTTTTAAACTCCAGATCTGGTTTCTTTCTTTTAAAAACTTGACTGCAAGCTGGCGAAACATGGATACGCCTACATAAGCCTCCCTTGGAATGTGCAAAAGTATTGAGCAGATTGTGAAATAACCTTGGGTGTGCCAAACACGTGAGGCTGTTTGCTTCTCCGTTCCACATAACCACTAAGATTTTGTTCAAAACAGAATTTCAGGGGGTGGGTACACATGAGAACTTCAAGATAGTAAATTCTTATCTACTTACTAACATTGAAAAACTCATTCTTCCTGTCAACTAGAACAGGAAAGTTTCAATGTCTCTGGAGTATGGATAAGAAGAGAACATACTCTAACCGTGTGCTTTAGAAGCTTTGTGACCAGAACAGGACATCCAGACAGTCCAATGAGGCCAAGGTACAGTTCACATTAGGCAATCCTGAGTCTCCCCCAAAGGGTTACAGTGGAGACTGGTTGTCTTGACCAGCATCGGTTTCTGCTGGTCTTCCCAAGCGCTCGGCTCTGTCCACATCTACACATGTCTCTACAAAGTCACTCCTACCAGGAGCTGCATCCTGCTTGACTCACAGTCATCATTTCAGAAAGATACGCCCACCCCCAGGAGCACACCTGGGTCATGTGCCCCCTATGGCCCCCACACTGACAGCAGCTTTCTGCTGACTTCCTCCTGATTAATTGCTGATAGACCAATCAGGGAATGTTTAAGAACAGGTCTGTAATTCCAACACTAAGAACGCAGAAGCAGGAAGATTGGGAGTTCAAGATCATCCTCAGCTATACAGCTAGTTTGAGGTCAGCCTGAGCTACAAGATATCCCATCACAAAAAAGAAAGAAAGAGAGAGAGAGAGAGAGAGAGAGAGAGAGAGAGAGAGAGAGAGAGAAAGAAAGAAAGAAAGAAAGAAAGAAAAAAGAAAGAAAGAAAAAGAAAGAAAGAAAGAAAGAAAGAAAGAAAGAAAGAAAGAAAGAAAGAAAGAAAGAGAAAAGACAAAACAGAGTGGTGAGGCTAGAGAGGTGGCTCAGTGGTTAATATCACTTGCAGAGCAATCATGAGGTCCAGAGTTCAGATCCCAACACCCACAAAATAAGCTGGGCATCCCTAAGCATATCTGTAACCCAGCCCTGAAGTAGGTGGAGTATGCAGGATTACTGGGGTTTGCTGGCTTCCAGACTGTGGTGGTTTGAATGAGAATGCACTCATATTTTTGAATGTTTGGTTCCCTGTTGGTGGACTATTTAGGGAGGATTAGGAGGTGTGGCCTTGGAGAAGGTATATCACTGAGGGTAGGATTTAAGGTTTTAAAAATCCATGCCAGGCCTAGTCCTGTTCTCTCTCTCTCTCTCTCTCTCTCTCTCTCTCTCTCTCTCTCTCTCTCTCTCTCTCTCTGCTGTCTACTTGCAGATCATATATAAGCTCTCAGTTACTGCTACAGCACCATGCCTGCCTGCTGCCACACTCCCTCCCATGATGATATTGGACTAACCTTCTGAAGCTGGAAGCAAGTCCCCAATTAAATGCTTTCTTCCGTAAGTTGTCTTGGTCCTGGTGTCTCTTCATAGCAATAGAACAGTAACTAAGACACAGACTGTCTGAGAAAACAACTCCAGGCTCATGGAGAGACTCTGCTTCAAAAGACTAGGTGGGAGCAGTGGAGGAAGTGTCATAATGAAATCTATTATTTTGTTTGTTAACTTAGAAATGAAAAAGATGAAGCATTATTAATAATATTTAGCAGCTGAAAGAGCTCATTATTTAAGTGAGAAGGAATGGTAAATCCATATAATTAAATATCAATTACTAATTATTAATGGTTATTTTAACAAATACTATAAATAATGTTTCATTTATATTAAAAATAATATCCAACAGATATATTCACAAGAATTTAAAAAAACCTTGCTATGTATTGTATGGCATATATTTATTAATGAAAAATAAGATTGCAAAGTAAGAGATACAGTAGAATTCACTTTCACTTTTCTATACTCTTAAGAGTCTTGAGAGCTGAAATCTTTTTTATTTTTATTTATTTGTTTGTTTGTTTGTTTGTTTGTTTGTTTGTTTTTCAAGACAGGGTTTCTCTGTGTAGCGTTGTGCCTTTCCTGGATCTCACTCTGTAGACCAGGCTATCCTCAAAGTCACAAAAGATCTGCCTGCCTCTGCCTCCTGAGTGCTGGAATTAAAGACGTGCGCCACCATCGCCCAGCGGAGAGCTGAAATCTTGACAGTCTAGAAACCAATTAAACCCCAGCTCCTAGAATTGTGACTGTCCAAGCACACTGCCCTAGTTTTCCTTCTGTTGCTGTGAAAAAAACACCCTAACAAAAAGCAGCTTAGAGGAGGGAGGGTCTACATGGTTTACAATTCCAGGTTACAGTCCACCATCTGGGGAAGTCAAGGCAGGAACTCAAGCATCTCGTCACATCACATCCACAGTCAACATCAGAGTGAATAGTGCATGCATGCAGGCCACTTTCTTAGTACTCAGCTGGCCCCCTCTGCTCTTATATGATCCAGGTCCCCAAACCAGGGAATGGTACGCCCACAGTGAACTGGGTCTTCCTAGATCAGCTAACAGTCAGGACAATCACACACACACACACACACACACACACACACACACACACACGCCCACAGTGGACTGGGTCTTCCCATATCAGCTAACAATCAGGACAATCCCACACACACACACATGCCCACAGTGGACTGGGTCTTCCCATATCAGCTAACAGTCAGGACAATCCCACACACACACACATGCCCACAGGCCACCCTGATCCAGACAATCTCTCGCTGAAGCTCTCTTCCCAGCTGATTCCAGGTTGGAATTTAAATTTACATTTAAATTTTAAATACATTTACGTTTAAATATTTAAATAAGATTTAAATATATTTAAATCTTTTGCTTCATATCAATGGTTTCCCTTACAAAGAACCACACGCTTAACTGCCATCATTAGTAAGAATGTATGTACCACTGCATCTTGATGGTGTGACTGATCATTGCTTTAAATTTTTTCTGATCTAGTGCCAACATTAAAATACTTCACGACTTGAATTTTCTTTTGTTTGATCACCAGGAAGGTTGACTTTTCCACATCTTTATTATTAAAAGTATCCAATGTATTATGATATTGCTCATCTTTTCCTGTTGATTCATAGGCCCCTTTTTATTAAAATTATTAATATCTTGTGTCATATATAGTATAAATATCTTTTCAAATTTGACATTTACCCTCTAATATTTTATGAGGTTTCTTATATTTTTATAATAACAATAAAAAAATCTCAGAAGGCTGGACAGCTGGCTCAGCAGTTAAGAATACTTGCTGCTCTTGCAGAGGACTGAAGTTCAGTGTCCAGCACCCACATTGGGTGGCTCACAGCTCCTGTAACTTCAGCTCCAGGAAATCTGGTGCCCTCTTCCAGTCTCCATGGGTACCTGTACTCATACAGACACACACATACACATAGTCATGTACAGACACAAGTAAATAAAAATAAAATAAATCTCAGGATGACTACAAGACAAATGGAATCAATGCAGCCCTTTCCCTACCTCCATCCAATAGACCAAAAAAGTAAATAAACAGCCCAGTAGTGGTGGCACATGCCTGTAATCCCAACACTTGGGAGGCAGAGGCAGGTGGATCTCTGTGAGTTCGAGGCCAGCCTCCTGGTCTACAGAGCGAGTTCCAGAATAGGCAGGGCTATAGAGAGAAACCCCATCTCAAAAAGCCAAAATAAAAATAAAAATAAAAATAAAGAAATAAATACATAGTTTACATTAAAAGAAAGAAACTTTCCAGTGTCACAAACAAAAGGGCAGAATAAAGACAAGTGGCAGTCCCATGACAGCCCAGAGTCACAGCAGGCTAAACACCAGCCCTGAGAATCCTGCTTGAACAAATTCCAGGGAACAGAAAACAGAGCTTTGGGTCCATAGAAGACAGGGAGCAAACTCAAAGTTACTGCCCAAAACCAGACCATGGAACATGATTGCTTTCATAAAAGAGG